CCTGCTATTTGAGCTATAAAAGCAATAGTGATTAGAAGAATGATTATTTCATAAAGAGTGGGGTATTTTCGGATTAGTTGGAACTAATAATCGGCTTTTAGGATGATTTTTTAGACTTATACTAGTTTTATTATGGATATTACTTCTAAGTATTACAAGTAGATTGATATGAATATTAAGGAGTCGAAAATTATGTTTTTTTTTAAATATTAGTGAAGTATTAGTTTTCTTTAGAAAACTTGGCTTTCTTTAATATATATACCTTTATTTAGAGTTATTAGAATGTTAATTAAATAAATTAATCTAAAAAAAAAGTTATTTCTTTGAATTATATTCCGAAACTTATTTTGATGGGAATTATAAAAAGATAGATTAATATTGTTAATCCATAAATTAATTCCCAAATGACCATTTATATGCTTTCAGTGTCAAAAACAGGAATTATATTGAAGGAGTTTTTTAGTTATTCTATTATATATATTATAAAACTAAAAAATTTATTATTTATTTGCAAGTTTTTAGCCATATTATGATATTTTTCCTTATATATATAAGCCATGTCATTTATAATTGAAAAATGGGACATTTTTAAATTATTATAATTGTATTTTTGGGAAAACTAGCCAATTTATTAGACTATTTATTTGGTTAATTTTAAAGATTACATTTATCGAAAAATATCATTATATTAGGTTTTTTTATTTTATTGAAAATTTTAATTGGGAAATTTATTTTTACGTTAATTAAAAAAATTTATTGAAAGAGCTAAACCATTTTCGTCATTATTTTTGGTGTCATTGTTTTTTTATAATTCTTTTTAAGGATTACTTCTTAAATTCAAATCAATAATTGAATTTTTCTGTTTTTCCTATTATTGGGAAGATTCGGAATATTTCGAAGAGATAAATTCAGGAGTATATATAGAATCTTTATTTTAAATGTTATTTTTTTGGATTTATATTTAATTTATTTCGTTATTCATTAAAAATAAATTATGACGTTTTTTTTATCCTTTTAAGAAAGAACTTTTTGTTAAATTTAAAAAGGTATAAAATATATTTTATGATTACTTTGATAAAAAAGAATCTATTAATTAAATATCTTGAATATTCATCTTTTCTTTTATTTTTATAACCTAAAATATAATAAATATTAAATATATAAGTAATTAAAAATATACTTGTAAGTATTTTATAATAATATATATATATATATATATATATATATATAATATAAAAAAATCAAACAATAAATAAATTAAAATAAAATAAAAAATCAAAATAATAAAAAAAAAATTAAATCTGAATAAATTAATTATATATGTATTAACGCAATAAAGTAAAATAAGTAATATAAATTAATATAAATAATTATATATTTATCTATTTAATTATGATAATTAAAATATTTATTTAATTATTCTGTAAAGTATTAATTCAGGCATTTTAACAAAAAAATCGTTAAATAAGCTTAAAAATGGGTTTATGTTCATCAAAAAAGAAAACTAAAAATATAAATATTGAAAATGAATAATATATATTTAAATAAAAAATATAAAAATAAACATTTTTGAATAAATTAAATAATAATCAAAATGCTAATACGAATTAAAATATAAATACTTAAAAATAATGTAATTCTTAAAAATATAGTCAAAAGACAGTTGATGTTTAACTTTTTAATAATGTTTTTAAACATGATATAAATATGAACTTTAATAAATAAAAATATTTAGTTTAAAATGAAGAAATAACTAAAGATGAAAAAGAAATAAATATACTTAATTAACTTTAAGCAAGTTAAATAATATAATAATATAAAAATTATATTTTATTAATATATTATATAGTAAAAGCATTTTAAACTGGTCCTTAAATCAATAATATAAATTAAAATATAAATAAAGATAATATATCTTGGCTAACAATTGGAGATTTTTGAATATTAATATGAATTTTTATTTAAAACTTGTTATTAGAAAAAATATATATAAAATGAAAAATTGTATTAATATTTTAACAATTATTTTAAAATTTTAAAAGTTTAAGCTAGATTATATAAAATTTCTAAAAACTTTATTAAAAAAAAAAAAAAAAATAGTTAAAATTATTTATTATATATATATATTTAAATTTTTTATAATTAATTAATATTTAACTAATAATAAATTTTAATTTATTTATATATAAATATATATA